TGTTTTTGGTGTATTTTGTTTTGTTTTTAGTGCATTTTGTTTTGTTTTTCGTGTATTTTGTTTGGAAGTCGGTTTTGTTTTTTTTTTAATACCTCTATGAAAGAAATTCAATATTTTTTGTTTGCATTGATTTATAAAAAGCGCTCTCTTGCGAAATACACGACAGTGATTATTTCCGCAGGCTTTAACAAAATATTTATTGCTCTTTATCTTAGATAATATAAAATGTACTTTTGATTTAAGATTTGCACAGATTCGATGATTGTTAAATTTTTCTACCGCCGTATTATTTGTGCATATCTACTAATGTGGAGTAAAGTGTTTTTGCGGGAAATCGAGTATTACTAGTAGAAAGAAAAATGCGGGAGATCGGGAATTGAGATTTCTTAGTCAATATGGCGTATATTAAAGTGCATGACGCATTACCACATAATTTTTAATTCATGAATGAAATATGTAATTCTAATCATTTTCTACCGGATTTAAATTTTTTATTTAATTTAAATGAAAATAAATACATATTTATTTAAACAATTTATTATAACTCTTACAATTTTCGCTCTTATTATTAATTATTGCACATTAACAGCCACATCCCTTTCCGTTTGTAGCCTCATAAATAAATAATGCTGATTTTTTATTAGGACACAACAATCATTTTAGACGTAATTCTATAAATTTTCTTTGATAAAAATACATTTATATATTCTTAAAATACGCCCTATACTGCAATAATAAATCTACAAATAATAATACAAAACTTGCACTAATAATTGACTTCTATATACAATCTTATTTCAAAATTAATAAATTGGTATTTTATTATGATGATTTTTTCTTGTCATTTGATTTCTTAGTTTGTGACGAGATCGATGATCCTTCAGCCTTACTATCAGGTCTTGTCATACGTTTTAGATAATTGTGATAATTTCTCGTATAAGATCCAGATTTATGTTTCGTTGGAGCGCTGTAATGATTTCCTACGTTATACTTAGAATTTTCTTCAGAATTGTAATCTTGATTGTAATATCCGACTTTAGTGTAGTGCATTGGCATTGAATTAACGTAAGTAACTTTCTCATCTTGACTCTTCAGTACAGTTTGTGGTACCATTATTCTATAGCGTGATTGATATTTAGACGATGGCACAGGAGTTACGTAGCTAACTGTTTGGACAGTCGCAGGATTCGGTCTTTTAGGTTGTTTGTAAGTAAAGGGTAGGACAGTTGCGATAGTATGATCTTTACTGGAATAAGTTTCCGGGACTGCGTATGTATTACCAACTGATTCTTCCCTTGGCTTCGGATACTCATAACCTTGGTTTTCACTAACCTCTGAATAAGTCTGTTGGTCGTGATCTGTGTTCTGGGAATGAGATGGATATGCGTTCACTGCTTCAGTAGGTTCAATCTGTTTTTGTGCATAATATCCTGCGAGTTGAGAAGACGTGTAATCTGATATAGATTGACTCGAATAGTCATGGGTTAAGGTTTGTTGAGGACTGTATGCTTCTTGACTTTCCTTAGAGAAATCGTATTGAGGTGTTTCGATGTTGGAGTTTTCTGCATGTTGTTGAGAGTGCGATGGTGTGTTACTGTCATATTGAACAGATATGACTTTACTGTCGTAGTTCGCGGAATATTGAGGAGATCCATGATCAGTATTACTGCTTGTATCAGCAGAAGGTGTGGCTAACTCGGAGAGATCACTTTGTTGTTCGTATGAAGCCACTGTTGATACCTGATCCTTTTGTAGTGATTGTCCATAGTAAGCTTGTGTTTGAACTGATGTTTGGGGGACGTATTGGTATCGGTATTCATATTTGGGTTGCTGAGTGGGTCTTCTATACTGAGATTGAATTCGGGAGCTATAATATTTTGGCCTACCAAACGTTGAAGGATACTTGGCCATAACAGGTTTAACTCCAGAGTACTGTACACCAGAATAATCAGATTGAGTATACGATGGTTGTACGTGAGGATTTGAATATTGTTGTGGCTCAGCACTGTATGTAGATGATACAGTAGGTGTTATGGATGTCGAAAGTTGAGGGTTTTGGTATGTCATTACTTGAGGAGCGGAATCGTAGCCGTTTTTCTTAAAGTACTGATTAACTAAATCTTGAAGGTTGACATTGTTTAAATAGTGTGACATTGGATAATTACTTGGCAAGTTTGCATACAACTCTGCGGTTGGATTTTTTATATAAGAACTTGGTATTCTTAGCACTAAAACTGGTACCACAGGCTTATTTTGATCCAAACCGTTCGTACTTAAATGATCCTGATTTAATCCAATATTTTGATAATGAGGATTAGTTAAAAGTTGTTTTGGATCAACGAAGTAATTTGACATTAATCTTGGGAAGTGGCCACTTAAACCTGACAGGCCTTGGCCATTATATGTTGTGTACAGAGTCGATGGAAATGATGTTGACGTTTCTTTTTGATGGTATACCGGTGAGGGTTCCACAGATTTTGAATGGTCGTAATGGTCGTCTTTCACTGATACTAATTCAAATGCCTGAGATGGTTGAATTTCTACACTCGTTGCATGGGTATGTTGTACTGGTGATTGTTGTGAATATTCAGCATTATGTCCACTGTATTCCTCAGACGCATCTTGTTGCGAGTAAGGGTAGATCATAAATTTACCTTCTTCTTGCTTTGGTTTTCCAAAATATGTATACGTATATCCTTCGTTTGTACGATATCCATAACCAAGGTTTGCATCAATGGTTCTCTTTCCTTTGGACGAGGAATTTGTATCGTTAACAATTTCAATAGCGATCACAGCCGGTAATGGAGTTTTCTCTGTTATATTTGCTGATGTTGGTTTGTCGTCTGTAGTATTTAATACTTCAACAGGAACTTGAGGTTTTATGCCGAACTTTTCTTCGACTTCTCTTAAAAATTTCTTCTCATCGTTAGTTAAGGGTGATCCTGATTTTTTATCTTTATCTGCATCTTCAGGCTTGTATTTCTTTGGGTCCGGTTCTGAAGTCACTCTTGTTAAGACAGCACACACCAATATCTGAAATTAAATTAATAACATGTGTTAAAAACATGAATATATTCGTATTTCTAAATGATTTCCTTTATTTATAAATTATCATTCACTATTTCCTGTTTATATGTTTGTTTATGCTTCAAAATATTAAATAAGAAGAAATTATCTACCATTGCGTCAATTTATTATATAAATGTGATATGTTTACTAAAGGAAATGTTTATGCAGTTTTACTCGTAATTATGTCAAATGTAACTATAATTATAAGTGAAAACAGTATAATTTTATCTTATTATTTCGATACAAAATAAAGAGTTATTTAATAATAATTTGATCATTATAAATTGTCAACTTAAAACAAAACAAAAATAAGGTTAAAGCACCTAACATTAATCAAAGAGCACGTACGGTGTAATCGGATATTTATTGCCTATCTTTGTGAATCACGATTTGAATGTGTACATTATCTTAGAGTACAATCATTGTTATATAAAGACTATTTTCTCTAACTCTGAATAAAACCCGTGACACAGTTTTGGCAAATAAATTATGTTACGTTGTATATTTGTTTTTGTATATTATAGCTTATGAAACTGGTAGTAAATGCTTAAACATTTTGCTCGAAAGTGAAAACTGTGTTTTCCTCTTCCGTTACTTTCAATGACCCCTATGATGCTCACTATTAAAACTATGCGATGTCTAATAAATATGTAGGAGCATTACGCAAAAATCTCCATACAGCAGCGGCAGTTATTTCTTGAAAATTAAGGATAATTTAATACTCACGGATGTAAGTTAAAGAGAAAATTTAAGTAATAAATAATAAATAAATTCATTTATTTAACAAGTAAAAGTAATAATACAATAATAGATTGTCCAAATTTTAATAACGAAGTCAATTATTTTTTTCAATCGTTGAATCTTTACTTTCTTTTGTCGTTAAATTTCATTTATATTCTAGTCTATAAAAATCAGATATCATATCTAATTTTTTATGTAAAATCGATTCTTTTCAATATAAATTTCTCTTTGATTTCTTATCTTAATAATTTTAAAATATTGATATTATATGTGCAGAAGAAATTTAATTTAATTTAATACAGTTATCAATATGTATACAAGTATAACAAATTAAAGTTGACATATTAGTACTTACGTATAAGTACGAAGATACCGATGTGTCATTGAATGATTAATTATGAAAGATCGCATTGTAATTGAAGACTGATCTGTCTTTGTAGATGACTATTAAAAAGATAACTGCAATACTTATTACGGTTCGGTAATTCCAATGGTTAAAACTTTAATGAGCCTTTATTTATAAAAGAATAAATTAAAACAGTATTAATTACTTTTACACTGAGAATATTTAACAATAGTTGTATTTAACTTTTCTATTATTGTGAAGAGGAAATATTGGTATTTTTCTATGTATTGTAATAACTCAATATCTACTGGGACGATTTTAAAAATTCTTACACCGTTATAAAGGTAATTTATCTGTGATTGATTGATTTTTTTTTGTTTAATTTCACGCAGACGTAGTCGAGAGCAACAGCTATAATCTATAAGTTCGAAACAGTTAATAACTTATTCAATACCTGACTAAAACGTGATACGTTTGGCATTGTTAGTAGGTGAATTAATTGTTTAATGCTACATTTGGTGTTATACAAATTATCTTGTATGTATTGTTATTCAGTCCTTATCAAAATTCAATGTCAATGAAACAAAATTTTATTTAATATTAGAGACTCACAATTATGTACACATAGGTTTCTCACAATAGTTTTTTATCTAGTAAAAGTAATGTATTAAAATAACACGTTAAAAGTTAATAAATCTCAGAAACATGTGCGGACTTACGAAGTTGAACATTACGTGCGCGTCGGAGTAATGCGAGATGAAAGTAAGCATTAACGGATTAAATCGACGCAAAATGAAATAGAAAGTGCATCGTACTCGAGTCCAGGCGGGAATTGCGACATCGAGCCGATGTTTCCTGTATGTAAATTGTGGGATAAAATACTTTTTGGATACTTAAATTTTGATTTTTTTTCATTAAGTACTACAAATGAAAAGAGATATGTAATAATTACTTAAGGGTTTAATTTTAATTCTCGTATAAATTCTAAGCAATGAATATTTGGAATTATTTGTTTTTAGATGCATTAATCCACTGTTTACAGTACTTTGTGGTATTTTAAAAACTAATATTTTCGGAACTTAATTGAAAAAGAAATCCGTTTTGAAACCATGACCGTTGCTTCGTGCAAATTTAACACTGTCAAATTTGGTATATTAAATTGGTTAAAGATTGTACAAACTAGGCTGCGGTACTCTTAAGGATATCTAAGCGAAGATTTCCTCATTATTTCACTTTCAAATGTCAATTTAACACTATACCACAACATTAAAGTTTTGTTACATAACAAGATATTGCGGAGGGCTATCATTACTGGCCACTGATATGCAATTACAACGGCTGTCAAAAATACGATTGCAAAAGAAATATTGACTAACGCACTTGTTTTTGTTCTCGTTAACGCACTAGAGAAACATCTGAAGAACGATTTTTTCAAACGCAATTAATTGTGTGCAATGTCGCATGACTTTGTTATATAAATGTCGTATAATTGACTTTATTTACATACAAGTCATATAAAAATATTGTAGTTGAAAATGAGATCTTCAATTCGGATTTTCCCAAGCGATGGATGCATATTAGGGAGTTAAGTTCATCAGATAAGTATTTCTGTATTTGCATAATAAATTGGTTTAATAACTTATAAATCTATACTATTATAATTAAGCGTTAACACACACTTCTTTGTTGCCTACAATGTCAACAAATACAGCATATTTTTGAATGATACTTTTTTTATAAAAAGCCCTACACATACGTCACGCTTTAGACTATATATTTTCACGCTAATGTGGGAAAGATACCATAAACTGCTACCAACATCAAGGAAGCAAGATTGCCAAGGTTGTCATCACGTCATGTCATTTTGACATTTGCAATTGAAAATTTGACAAATGTAAACAATAAAAAAATCATAATTTCATGCGGATAAAAGCGCACTGGAACAGCTAGTATTTAGATATACATAAGCGTTTTATTAAGAAATGTATATACACATGTTGGCCAAGTTTTGGGGCTGTAAATAATTACTTGTTAAAATAACAAGGAGGTGCAAATTGCATTTGAATATTAACGAGGTCAGTGAATGGCATAATGTAAATCATTATAATTTTATGCCAAATTAAGTAAACTTCTTACAGCATGCTGCGTTCATTACTTGCTTATAAATATTTATGTGAAGAAAACTCACTTCAACTACAACTATGATTCATTACAATGATGTATTTAAGTTATATAAAGTTATGGGTCAGTGACCTCTAAAATATTCTTTAATGTCACTAAAATAAATGTTTTTGTCCAGACTTTCAAAGATTTGATAATTATTGGTCAACAAGAGCTATATAAAAATGTAAATGTCAGATGTAAACGTTTTTAATTCTATAAGACATAATAAGTCATCGTTAAAGCATTCAACGCTTGCTGAAAGAAACAGACATAAAGCGATAATTGTTTGATTCTTTTTTATGACTGGTATAGGTCACAAAAATGGGTTCACAAGACAATCTAGTTATCTGCTTAAATATGGCTACAAATAGTTGAACTATCTTTGAGATAAAATTATTTTTATGTGTTATGTAAAAAAGTAAAAGAAAAACGTTAAGAATAATCGATACTAGTGGAAACTCGGAAGTAAATGTTTATTGTCTATGGAAGATTACTTTATGATAGATCTTATGATAATCTATGAATGATTACATACAAATCGTCAACTATCGCACTGGTATATAATGTATAGAAAGTTTATGAAGACATCAAACATTAACCTCCATATAAACCACGTGGCTGTACATTTTTATTACCATGGCTTATACAAGATAAAATAATCATCTCAATAAAATAATAGTTATACATGAAAATTTATGTTATTGCTGAAAAAGACATAACGAGGTTTCATTAATAACTATCTATGGAATTAATAACGCGTTTATGTCTTTTGTATGAGAATTAGAGTAAAGAGAATTGTTATCGAAAATGAATATCCAAATATTATTCTTTACTAGCTGTCGCCCGCGACTCCGTTCGCGTGATATTAAAAAATACAAAAGAAAGTAGTCTATGTGTTCTTCCAGACTATCCTCTACATCTATGCCAAATTTCATCCAGATCCGTTCAGCCGTTTAGGCTACTAACTCTAACAAACATCCATCCATCTAAACTTTTGCATTTATAATATTAGTTAGATTGTAATTTTGGTTGAGACTACATATAAATTGGTTTTAGTGAGTTGAAGTGTAGATATAAAAGTAGTTAATTTTAATATAAAAAATCATGCGCCTGTCAGATATTCGTGCAAATAGTTTTTCATTTCGAATAGTTTACTATCAAAAGTAAGCCCCATTGTTATACTTTAATTTCTTCGACATCTGACTTTTTATTTTTTTTAAACTAATCGTGTCAAATGACCTTCGACTGATCATTGACATTGAATTTTAAGAAGTGCCAAAAAGGTGCATGTTTCTACAAAATTTTGTTATCTCTTTTTTATTATTCTTTTAATTTCAGTATAAATATTGTGTATGTTATATAAGTTGTTTTAAACTGTTAACATATTGGAAAGTATTTAATTGGCTTTTGTCAAGTTTAACCGGTTTTGTCACCGCTGTTTTTTTATTAGGATTAGCGTAAAACAAGTTTTTACGATCGAATTTCTATTATCTGATTAGAATTATAGATCTAAATTGTTTTTTTTAAATCGTTATTTTAAAAGTAAAAAGTTAAATTGTATCAAAAGTCCTTGACAATCAACGTAATCTATCTATGGCGAGTAAATAGATTTGAGATCTCTTCATTTCTCCAACTCTTACCATCTCAACTTTAATCCGCTCTTCTTTTCTAAAAAATATTCACAATAGTTATTTTTGCTCAACGCCATCCACGAGAATTTCAAATATTGCAGCTTTAAATATATAACTTTGTTTGAACATCAACGTTTATTGTGAATCTACCCGTGGCTTTTGACTTTCGAGAAAGTTCACATAGTAAACAAGGTCCAGTTGATACAAATAAACAAATAAATATATCTTCAGCATTTAGTGTGTATAAATCAACTAATAGTGGACAAGTGCCTATTCTAGTTATAGTATTTCTTTTTAATGTAACAAGATAGATTATTGTAACTTCAAATTTACAATTCAAACACTACTAACTTATTAACATTTTAAGATTAATATTTAGATCATGATTAGCTCTTATTTAATCTTGGTTTTTATATGTTAATGGCAAATATTTACCAATGCAAACCACCGCATCTTGCTCGTTCTCGTTCCTGTCACTGCGGCTATCTGTCAAAAGAAAACAGATCTCAATAAGTAATCACGTCACTGTATCACAACACTAATTCACAAACGCACATCACTATTACCTGGCGTGTTTCGGTGTTCCGCTGCGTATGTGTAGAGCAATGGGTCCGCGAAACATTATGTTACCTTCTTTTATACCTCGGAAACATTCTCGCAAGATGCGCCGCGAGCCTCCGCCAGTCCGAAACCACTCGCACACTACAAACAGTCGTACAATACATACGCTAAACTTTAATGCGCACTCGTAATGTTCTGATAAAATAACCAATAAATTCACAATGAATGTCTAAAAATATCAACAAATCTGTATTTGCAGTAGAAAAACACTAATTATGTTATAACCTTAAGTTAAAATCAACTTAAATGAATAAAGAAATTATACCTACACATTTTTTAGGAAAGCTGCAGTGCTTTTATTTATTTACATATTAATTATCACCATGATGTCAAATAGTGATATCAAGAGAAGGTGATGTGAAGCACTTAAGTATGGCACGAATTCGCACCTATATTTAGCGAATAAATCATAAATAGACAGTGGCGCTTTCAATTTATTTACATATCAGTAGACTCATGCCAACTATTTGCTAACTAAGCTTTTGCTAATGTTTGTATGAAGTCTATATAAACATAGAAATTTAATGCAATTTGTAGCATTAATAAGATTTATTTAATAAGCATCTATGTACAGAATACGTATGAAATATTGACAACGCGTGTCCTTTAAGAAGCGATCGTACCATGTCCTCAAGGACCGAAAACGCAGCTTTAGCTTCTCTAGTATTACAGACGTCAATCTCCTCGGTGTACCCACTCGTTTACCTCCTTCTTTATATAATATAAAAACTAGCAACTGCATTGAATTTTATTCATCAGTCCATCGGTTCAATCTACATCACGTATATGTACCGCTATTTGTTGCACGTAATGTATATTCAGTAACAATGACGGGAACCCAACGTTGTTTTGAGAGTCGCTCGCATGGTGATTATGTATAGAAAAGAAACAGTTTCTTGTAACAAAATTAAAGTTGTGCAATCGTGAACCTTATTTAATTAAAAGGCTGAGTTTCTACGTGTTTATTCAAATATACTTTCTCTGTATGAACAATGGATATGTTTTTTCAATTAAAAAATATTTTACGCGTTCTAACAAGCAAAAGTGTGCAAATCTAAAATTTATGATAACTGCTTTTACAAATCTAACCGTGTATATTTAACTTTTAACCTTCAGATCTGTAAAAGCTATGTTATATATCAACACAGTTGTTTTAATTCATCTTGTATTTATATATAATATTATGATCTTTTATATTAAGTAATCTTTTCCGGGATTATGTCATTTTCCATTAAGTAATTAGTATAGTTTAGTCTTTGTTTAAATTCTATATCTTCTCGTAATATATTATTATTACAAAATAACTATAAATCTTGATAATGCTAAGCTAAGCAATGCATATAACAAATTTTACGTTTAGAAAGTAAAAACGAATCGAGCTTAGCATTCTTGTATTCCGCCAACATCAGTAAATGCCCAAGTAAGGTAAAAAGCTAATGTGTATTTCTAATTACGTTCTGATTCTGATTTTTGAAAGGATTGAGCGGGGTTAAAACTTTGGTGCACGGTCATTATATTGCAAGACGACTGACGAAATTGACATTCTAGGTTTATAGAATTGTACCAGCTTAAACACACGTACTCTAATGCCCGCTAGACATCTTCAATTTTAACTGTACAGTTTGACTTGTGTAAGCAAGACTGTGAGCTGTACAGAATTTTTGATAGTATGAATTTCGCCTATATGCGTAAGTTTTAACAGTACGATTTTACTGTTCAGTTAAAATTAGAGATATGTAGCGGTCTTAACTCCCGTTCTCAGAGTCTAATTACTTGAGGACTCCTATAGCAATTAATGTATCAAATCGGAATTCAACATAGTGTAGAGTTTTCACAATAAATATGTAATATGCGAATCTTAAAAAGTTTTTTAAGAGTTCAAGTATTATTAATAAATCAAACGGACAAGACTAAAAAGACGTTAATAAGTCAACTTCACAGTTTAATACCTGTCAAAAATTAACTATCTAACGTCCTGGAATAATTGATAGTTGTTGATGTAACTGAAAAATTATATACTACGTTAATGTGTTAGATATGCATCAATGCAATTACATCGTAATACATTAAGTGCTGTAACAATGATTAACATACAAACAGCTTCTTATGGACTGTAATGATATCTTTTATAACGTGTACTTACGTAACACAGGCAGATGGGCCACTTAAACTGCACACAAGTCAAAACATTCCACTTACGAAAGTGTATGCTCTAATATCGTCACGATACTATGACTTATTTGTTTATTTGTCTGCAACAATTGTATGTCGACGTTAACGTCAGTTACCAATGATGAAACATGTATCATAGACAGTCCTTCCTTTTCATTAACTTTAGAAAAATTGAGATAACAATAGTTTTTGTACAGATTTTCAGAAGACGGTTTACGGTAAGCTAGAGTTTTTACAAACGCTCTCATATATGAGGAACATGTAAAAATTTTGTAAAGAGTAGTCTGGTAAAGATGTTAGTGTTGAAAATCGCGGAAATTCGTAATTTTGTTATTAGCTAATTAAGGTTAAATAAATGTAAACATCGCATCACAAATATGAAATGTCGCGAAGTGCAAGTTTTTACATACATGTGGAAACTGTGTTGAATTTGAATAATTTTTTATTAAAATAAAATCAGTCATCTTAAGCACACCTGAAACCCAACGTTGCACATATTGAATTTCTTACGTTCGTAAATGAAATGAAGAAGCATATAAACATTTAATTTCTGGTCATCTAAAATGTTTATTTTATCAAAATTGCATGAAAGTTCTATAGTAAAATAAATCAAGATTTAGAAGAAAAAGAACAATTGACAATCTACAATATTAATTTAATTGGCAAAGAAAGAGACAAAAAATCAGTTTTTAAATGATATAAACAGCTTATATTAAGACGACTCATTAATTCGGCCAGATGATAAATTAGCGTGTTAATTCGTTTGAATAAATTCTGCATACTTTCAACATTTATACAGCAGTCACTCACGATAATTCTCTATCTCATAAAATAGTTTAATAGCACTGTTGGACATTAAAGATTTTGCATCGTTTTACCTAAAATACGATTACAAATCACGCTCTTGTGAAAATATCTGCATAATGCTTTATCTAGAAATGGTAACAAAAGTGAGAAGGATGACTTTAATATTTCACCACGCTTAATCATTGTTACATATATAGAAATGCAAAAATACTTTTAAAGCTATTTTTGAATATCACAGTTTTTTAATTAGCGTGGGTTGAAATTATTTCATTTTTGTTGCCAAGGATCTATAGCTGTCATAATACATTTATTATTTGATTAGTGAAGAGGAAGATTTATCGACTTTCTAGTGTTTAAATCAATTTGAATGTTGATTTTAAACAAGTTGTTAATACTGTAAAGTATATCTATATCACTTGAGCATGACTCAGTGGCATACTTTCGAAAATTATATTTGAAATTAACGACAGAAAATGTTGTTTTATGAGCAAACTGTTAAGTTGAACATCAAGTCAATTCGTTAAGTCTGTAATCTAAGTCATGTGTCGCTTTTCTGAAACTTGTCAAATTAACTAACACTAATAAAATTAATTATTCAATAATTTAGAATTAAATTGAGTTCATTGCATGTTTAGGTTGTTAGTAGTGTAGTGTATAGCCCACCACCACCCATGGCCCCACCGACCCTCGGGTCATACGGGCCGAATCGCGGGGGGGGCGCGCGGTTTGGCCGGTTTCGGCTCCGCACGCACCTTCTTGACTCCCTACAAGTTATTTCGTCCGTTCCTTAGTGTTGAGTCACTCTCCCCCTAATGGGCATGACGAAACATTAACACCATCGCCGTCGGGCATCCACTCCAGCGCCTATTCTAGCCTGCATCTTCGATGATGCCATCGATGCGCGAACTCACGCAGTCTAGCATAGTTCGCCCCGTTGTTGACAAGTAGTGTAGTGTAGTGGTAGGGAGAGTCATCGGAAAACCTATGAACGGCTTATTCTGCTCATATATAAGTGTTAAATATATACATTTATTTACGCCTTTCCATAATTAATCTGCAACTTGATCTCGACTACCTTTCGAAGTCATCGTAAATGACGTTGAGTAATTATTCACGCTTCGCTAGTTACAAAACGTTTGACCTCCAATACTATGTATAAACATATGTTAGATAACAGTCTCAAATATTTGGAAGCAATATTTGTATGTCATTAGAGTACTGTGGCTTTAATGCCAACTTATGTACGATAGACTATTTTTAATTATACATCTATATTAATATTAGAAAGAGGAAAACCTTGTTTGTTTGATTGTAATAAAATAACTCAAAAACTACTGGGCCGATTTCAAAAATTCTTTCACCATTAAAAAGCTACGTTTTCAGTGAGTAACATACACTACTGTTTTACATTATATTTTAATTTCACGCGGATTTGCTGGCGAAAGCTAGTTTTGTTATAATTTTCTACTACTTTTACGATCCACTACAACAAACGACAACAAACATTGTTTTCGAGCCTTAAATAGTGGATTTAAATCAAAAATACAATTGAATTAAACACGTGTTTTAACTTTATGTTAAGGTCCAGTGAATGTAATTTGTTCTGTATGTTGTCTAAACAGTAATAAAGTAATATAATCAAGCTAGTAGCGGGATGACGCACGCGTTGTCGAGCGGCGTCAGTCAACGTTTTCACTTTTCCTCACAGATGGCGGCATCTCTGCACAACTTTGCATGCATGAATTCGGGTGTAATAACCGAAGACGCATTTTAATTGCGCTATTTATGCTCGTGTGTTTGAACGATCTCACTAAATTGTCACACGACAAATGATCTTATATAACACGAGTCAGAGATGCAATAGAAAAATTGCTCATTTGCAAAATTATAAACTTTCTTCTCGGGTTTATTTCATATGAGATAATTGGATATGCCATATATTAATCTTGTAATATAACACAAATATGGTAATTGATAATTTTATTCGTATTTAAAAGTGTCAAAGTGAATACGTAATATTGCAGGCTTATGCTTCTTATTTAGCGATTTATCTACGCGAAGTCAAACACTCAATAGTGAGATGGTAAAATTTATGAAGACTG